GCAAGAGGCTCCGCTATGCCCAGACCGGTGAGATCGACGGCGAGCTCTTGCGCAGCATGGAGCAGGACCTCAAGGTACAGTCGTGAGCAGGTGTCAAGGGGAGGGAGCGCCTCAGACAGAGGCATGGTCATCATGACTCAGGCATTTCCATCCATTCTGTCATACACTGTGTGCCCAGTGGAGCTCATGGGATAGGAATGGCCAAGCTTACCTTCGTAACAGAAGCCCTTCTGTACGTAGGTAGGCTGTTTTCAGCTTTAGTCCAATAATTTTCTGTAAAGTTAATGAGTGAGAAGGGACTCAAATACAAATTAGGATCTAGAGTTTTTGGATCTTTTATGATGAATGCAAAGCATACCCTACCACTGCAAAATTAAACCGGCCTCACCAAATAGTCCCATTGGCTTCGAGGCGATTATGGTGCTCTTTAATAAAGGTTTCAGAGGACTAGTAGATTGAATGCTTGCAGAGTCACAACACAAAATCCTGACTCCATTGGTATCAGTGGAAAAACTGCTGTTATCTTCAGTGAAACCAGGATTTTCCACATCCGCCTGAAACCATAGACACAGCCCAACAAATTTCAATGTCTAATCAACTGGATTGAATCCATAATGTCTGAATGAACCACAGCCCATTGTTGAGGAAAAGTTCCAGTCCTTGTTTAAAGATTACCATTGGTAAAATAGCCATTATCTCCATTCTAGATTGGGTCAATTACATAAAAAACTGCTTTCTTGCACTAGTTAGAAGTTGTTTAATTTTTATTTCCATCCACTAGACTTTGTTAAGGCTCTTACTGAACCAGGACTTCTAAACTTTTTTCAGTTGACTCGTCTCCTGCCATTTCACATGGAAGTACAGTCCTCTGTTCTAGCAAATGTGAGCTTATTGTCAACACTTCGCCTAGGACTAGTTACCTATCGCTTGCTGAATTCTCTGGACTGGAGTGGAAAATGTAATACATGATCAGGAGCAAGGTCATTTTTAAACCTTTTTTTTTAAGTATTATGGATTGAGAGGCTGTTATTCCCAGGCCTGGTTTACAGACTTCAGTCATCTTTTCTGTAAATTTTCCAGCTTGTCATCATTCTTGTTAAAATGTAGAAACCAGTCCAAGACACGTTCTAGTAATTTTCTCACTGATGTCATTTAAAATGCTAGTATCCTTCTCTCTATTCCTGTTCAATATTCCATTTCTGTGCAGATTCAAAACCCACGTTTGCTGTTGTGGCCATGACAGTTCTTTAAGTACAGCTGTCCATGTGGTTCTTGATCAGATAGTCTCTTCCTGGTCAGACGCAAAACGACCCCTCTGTCGGGGGAATGTCTGATTGAAACAAGGAACATTTTGCCCACTCAGAATGATGCTTAGGTGAATAGTTGAGACACGGACCTTTGCAGGCAGAATTTGAACATGAGCCTTTGTGTCCCAACTGAATATTGTGATTCCATCTTATAGAGTTGATTTCTTTGTTGGCTCAATGTTACCTTGTATTAGCAAGTAGTACATCTGCAGGGCCTGGGTGGGAAATGGTGGGGACACCTCTGGTGAGGTGCTTGCCTGCAATATAGGAGACAGCAGCTAAGGCCTTAGATTGAGCTGGACAGAGGGCTCACTTTAATTAGGATTTCTCCCATGTCTTTCCCAATAACCACACAACTATTTGGAAAGGAATAGTGTTTCTGCAAAGTGTTCTCACAGATCATGAATGTGTTTTGCTTTCAAGTAGGGATGCACATCTAATGCCAAATTTCTGCCTGATTGAATTCCGGGTGCTGGCTAACCATAATTGTAAGTTGTGTAGTTCTCTGTAGTGTCCTTTTCTGAAGAATTTCTATCCAAAATAACATTGTCCATTTTGCGTATTATATTAGGGGACTTAATCCTTCAGAGATATAGTCTTGCATATAGCTGTATTGAAATGCATCTTGCATGAGTGAGTCCCATTTCCCCTGTGATCTAGAATGCTCTGTAGGATTTCCCTGCATTATTGCTACTCCACCAAATTTTGTGTCAAAAAATCACTACCAGTAATTATTTTGTTATTTGGTTGTATTTACTGATCCAGATTGTATCTATGGACTGAAGACAGATTCTGATAAGATGCTGTTAAAAATGTTCCCTATGATTTTCCATTTTCTTTGGCTGGACAAGCAGATGAGCAGTTTAATACCAAGTGTGGGAAAAAGACATCAAGATATAGCCCTGTGGTGTGATTCTTAGCTCATCCTGCGGTCTCTTTGGAGTATGGTTATAACTGAAATTCCCCTCCACTCTCTTTTTCTGTTGGGCATTATGTGTCTTGAGTGTACGTGCAGTGGGGGAGGTTACTCAATGATCTTGTGCTACACTGCAGTGTTGGATCAGTAATTCACACACACTGGGTTTCTTGTCAGGGAAGGCTGAGTCACTAGCTGCTGCTGTTTTCTGATAGACTGGATTCTTCCAGGCTGCTTGCTTGCAATTATTATCTTTTTCTTTAGAGTTTTAGTATGTCAAAGAGGGTTCTTTGACATACAAACATAAATATCGTTGCAGTGAAAGCCATAAAGGGTAGCCCTTTGAGCTCCGCTAGCTAATGCTAAGAACGATTAATTAGACTTTCCAATGTTCTAAAAAAAAGCAGGAAATAAGGCTTTTCAAACTGTGTGTCTAAATCACCATCATAACAGTGATTAGTCTACATTTAAATATTTTTGGTGCATGATTATAGTTTCTGGTGTTTTCACAAAATACAATGCAAGGGGCTTGAATGGCAGAGTTCTGATTAATTTACATGAAGAAGAGGAATTAGATCTTGACACATGCCTTTTAACTCCTGTGAAAATGCATTAAAAAAAAAAAGGCAAAAACCACAGTGTTAATTTTCATTTAAAATATTGGACATCATTTGTATGAACACAAGGTCAGTAAAAATGTTGTTTGTTCAAATTTTACTTTTTGAATTAACCAATCGTAGTAAATACCAGATATTTAGATTAACTGTCCATGGAGGAAGAAACTATCAGGGTTGAAATAAAGATGTGTCTGTTTGTGGTCCTATACAAGGCACAGGTAGGGTAGGCCTGGAGAAGCTGGGCCCTGCTCTTAGATGCTTCTGTGTGTCAGGTATTTGAAGGGCATGTGCCTTGGTGCATTGAAAAACGTAAGGTAGTAGTGGCTGAGAGAAAATAGATGCTGCACTGTCTCCAGGAATAATGAAGGTCTTGTTTTACTGTTGACACAACAGAACCTAAGAAGGAGTTGTGATTTAGTGTCTAATGTGGCTTGCAGTGAAGTCCATGGGATTAATATGCCATTTTTTTGAAGGAATCGGCTTGAATTTGGAATAATTTAGAATTCTATCTGTAGATGCCCCGATCTACATGTTTCCTTTCATACTTCTTCCATCAAAACATCCAGGATTAGCCTGTAAGTGGTTGCTTAATCACTAAGCACAGCAGCAGTAATTTTTTTTAATCTTTATTTTGAAATATCATTTCATTTAGGTTGCAAAAGATGTGTCAGTGAGACTTCACCATGAGTTAGAAAATGTGGAAGAAAAACGTACTGTAACAGAAGATGAAAATGAAAAATTAAGACAGCAGCTTATTGAAGTTGAAATTGCCAAACAAGCACTACAGAATGAACTGGAAAAAATGAAAGAGGTTAGTACTGCTATTTACTTCTACACAAAATATTTGAAATTTTCAAGTTCTTATTGCTGAACTCAGTTGTTTTCTTTCTATAACTTATTTTGGGGGCACAAAATATGTCAGGCAAAATTTGAAAGTTGACAAGAGTGCTGAAGTATGGCTTGGTGATTGGGAAGCTGAGAATGAACTAAAATATTTGGTTTTTCCTAGGTGAAACAAACCAAACTGTGGCTTTGTTTTTCCTGTACAAGGAGGGAAATGCAGATCTCATGGTAACAGAGTTCAGAGGCTTTGAGACATTGTACTTACATTAAGATACATCCAGAAAGAGTTCTGAAGGGAGTCAGAGACATCTAACTTTGCAGGTGTTGTTCCCCACAGGTTTTTACAAAGACCTGTATTTTCCCCTTGCTAAGTAATACTAGGGTCTAGCAGGCACACGGATACTGGCAATCTAACCACCTCCCCCTCTTGTTCACTCATGCTCTTTTGGGAGTATTGGAGAGTGACAGACCCTACCCGTCCTTTCAGTCTAAGCATAATTTTACATTATATCTAATTAATCCTCAGAATTACTCCATTTGCCATTATATAGATGCAAGATACTGTGCCATTAAGTAAGCAGAAAATTGTCTTACAGCAGTAATAGCCTGGCCATCAGAGATAACAAAGCATGCAGTAAAAAGAGAAACTGTTGACTAAGAATGACTTCTTGGAACAGATTTAGAAACAGCTCTCCAGTTCAGTGTTTAACGTTCAATGAATATCACTGATTTTCACTTTTTTCCTAGCAGGAAT